GTGTGGGGGGGGATATTTAATACTCAATCTGTCTTCCCAGATTCATGTGGCCCTACCGTCCTTTGGCAAGTAGACTCCTGATCTCAAGATTCTGAAAGGACTTGTTCAGATATGGCCTTAGCAGTTAGAGAAGCCTTCCATTCTAAGGCAGTCTAGCACTTCTAAACAGTTAGTATCCAAAATAAGCACACACCATACCATTCATCCTAATCCTTGTTATTCAAGTGATAGAAGCTGAAATTGTCATTTAAACATCTTGCAGTGAAAAGACTTACCTGAAGGACAAGGTCTGGATTTAAATCTTGCTGTTTCATTAACTGTTTGACTTGCTTTCTCCGCTCTACCAGTTTCCGGATCTCTTTGGGCAAAATCCCCATATCTAAGTTTGGATCTGGCAACTCAGGGATCTGTTCTTGTTCCTCATCCTGAAAAACATACAATAGAAACTTCAAACAAGTTAAATACTGATTTAAAAACATGTCTAAAGTAATATTTGACAAGTGTTTGACCCCATGACCACATCTTAGAAATCTTTCATGTGTGAGGAAATCAATAATACATGAGCAGCTTCAAACGAGGCTGATCTAGGTGTGATGGTACCACACTCAGCTGGAAGGCTGAGGCAGACAGAGCATCATGACGTCAAGGCCAGCCTGGGCCACATAACATGTACCAAATCAGTACGAGTTAGAGAATAATTCCCTGCCTCAAGAAACAAAATAACTGAAACCATAAAGAAACCAAACCAGAAAAAGTTCTGTATGGTCACAGACCACTGTGCCCCTGCACACAGTTCTATCAGCTTTTGTCATTACCACTATCTCTCACCCTTGTTGTTACCCACATATTTAGATTTAAATGTGAAAGAATGGATTTTCAGAAATTTGGTGAAACATGTGTGGGAAAATTGTTTTTAATATACAAATGCTAAGATAGACTCATAAAATTTAAAAAATAAGAATAATCAGCATCTAAACTCTTGTTCTATAACGTTTGTACAACAAATTGGAATGCTATAGAATGTTTCACAACAATCACTACAAATGCTTTTACTGTTAAAAATAAAGAAGTTATATACTAAATAAGCAAATTTGGATCACATTTAATAGGTCATGCCATTTCTAAAATTTAATAGACACACACACACACACACACACACACACACACACACACATATATATATATATATATATATATATTCCTTAGCATTTATGGAATACATTTTACCTATAAATTGCTTTGCAATCACCAGAAGAATAGCAACATTTTAGAAAGGCAATCAGCAGTCTTCTTATATTAAAATTTACAGCAGGAAAAAGAAGGGAAAGCATTAGGCTTTTTTTTCCCTCAAGCCTCCATTAATTCTATTAACAGGTTTCAAAGAATAGCCAGGCAGTTACCCTTTGAAAGGTTCAAAATTAAAAATAAATCTTTTGGCTTAAAGCATGTCAAGTCAATGCCATTTGATAACCCAGCCTTTATAAAATACCTGATATTATAAGGATCAATATCATAAAATGAACACCCTTATAACACTAATAAGGACCCATTGTTTTCCAAAATAGTATGTGATGATAGCAAATCTATTAAAGTCAACCTCGTATAAGATTCCACTGTATTTATAGCAACCAGAGAAGTCATATCAAAAGTAAACTGAAATGTTCTTAGATCAGAAAATTTGGAGTTCATCTGAAGCCCTAACACCACCTCCAAGGTGACACTAACTGATCTCTCTGAAATAATACAGAATCAATAAATTGGTACATATATAGTATTTAAGATGACTGCTTGGGTCTTTCTACTCTATTATGTATCCAGAGCCCAAAATGAAAACTTCAAATAGGCAAAACAATGGTGGATATCAGTTGTAGAAGCAGAACAGTGATAACTGTGACTGTACTTACAAAAATAGCAAAACAGCCAGGCAGTGGTGGCACAGGCCTTTAATCCTAGCACTTGGGAAGCAGAGACAGGTGGAACTCTGTAAGTTTAAGGCCAGTCTGTTGGCTGTCATTTTATTCTGATGACAGGATCCTTTGCTTTACAGAAGCTTTTCAGCTTCATGAGGTCCCATTTATTAACTGTTGATCTTAGAACCTGTGCTGTTGGTGTTCCGTTCAGGAAGTTGTCTCCTATGCCTATGAGTTCACGATTCTTCCCCACTTTTTCTTCTAGCAGATTTAGTGTGTCTGGCTTTATGTTGAGGTCTTTGATCCACTTGGACTTTAGTTTTGTGCAGGGTGATAAATATGGATCTATTTGCATTTTTCTACATGTAGACAATCAGTTAGAATAGCACCATTCGTTGAAGAGGCTGTTTTTTTTTTTTTTTTTTTTTTTTTTTTTTTTTTTTTTTCCCATTGCATGGTTTTGGCTTCTTTGTCAAAAATTAAGTTTCTATAGGTGTGTAGGTTTATTTCTGGGTCTTCATTTCAATTTCATTGGTCCACCAGTCTGTTTCTATGCCAGTACCATGCCATTTTTATTACTGTTGCTCTATAGTACAGCTTGAGATCTGGGATAGAAATACCTCCAGAAGATCTGTCATTGTACAGGATTATTCTTTCTATTCTAGGTTTTTTTGTTTTTCCATATGAAATTTAGAATTGTTCTTTCAAGGTCTGTAAAAAAATTGTGTTGTTATTTTGATGGGAAATGCATTGAATCTTTACATTACTTTTGGTAGAATGGACATTTTCACTATGTTAATCCTACTGATCCATGAGCATGGGATATCTTTTCATCTTCTGATATCTTCTTCTATTTCTTTCTTCAGAGACTTGAAGTTTTTTTCATATAATTCTTTCACTTGCTTGGTTAGTGACACCAAGGTACTTTATGTTATTTGTGGCTATTGCAAAGCGTGTTGTTTCCCTAATTTCGTTCTTAGCCCATTTGTCTTTTGTATAGAGGAGGGCTTCAGATTTTTTTGAGTTAATTTTGTATCCAGCCACTTTACTGAAGGTGTTTATCAGCTGAAGGAGTTCTCTGGTAGACTTTTTGGGGGTCACTCATGTATACTATCATATCAACTGCGAATAGTGATACTCTGACTTTTTCTTTTCTGATTTGTATCCCTTTGATCTCTTTTAGTTGTCTTATTGCTCTAGCTAGGACTTCAAGTACTATGTAGAAGAGCTAAGGAGAGAGTAGGCAGCCTCACCTTGCCTCTGATTTCTGTGAGATTGATTTAAGTTTCTCTCCATTTTATTTGATTTTGGCTATAGGCTCAGTAGATCACAAAACAAAACAAAAAGACAGAAATGTGGAAAGGGGGTATTGTAGGGAGAAAGGAGCTAAGAGATGGCAGAAAGGACAGTAAACAAAATGCATTCACAAAACTGACAAAGAACAAATTAATAAAAATCTATAGTTAAAAAGATTCATAGTTAACTAGAGATGGGATGAATGGAGGAAATTGAAAGAGGTGACAGCTAAACATTTGTGTTTTGTTTTTGTGGAATTATGAAGCTAAATGAAATAATGGTTTAAAAACTCTATGAAGACACTAAAAACAATCACTGTACACTACAAATAGGTAGATTGTATGGTAAGTGAATTATGCCACTACAACACAGTTTTAATGAAAACAGCACCAGTCTCTTCTTGGTCAGCCCTCCTTTTTGATGACTTAAAAAGTATATAATTAGGACTGGAGAGAGAGTTCAGTGGATAAAATGTTTACTGAACAAGCATGAAGTCCTGAGTTTGTATCACCACCAGAACCTAGGTAAAGAGCAGGTACAGAGCCAGCAAAATGTTCAGCAGGGAAAAGTTACTTTAGCAGGAAAGGGGATTTCAGACAGGGTTTCTCTGTGTAGCCCTGGCTGTCCTGGAACTCACTCTGTAGACTAGGCTGGCCTCTAACTCAGAGCTCTGCCTGCCTCTGTCTCCTGAGTTCTGGGATTAAAGGCTTATACCACCACCACCAGGCTAAAAGTTCTTGATGTATAAGCCTGACACCTTGAGTCTGATCACCAGAATGCACAGTGAAAAGAGGGATAACTCCTAAAACTCCATACACACATTTATATTGGCATATAAACAAAAACAATATTTTGTAAAGCCAACATAGTCCTGCACCCCTATAGCCCCAGTTAAGATGGAAGACTAAGACAGGCAGATCCCAGGAACTCATTAACCAGCAAAAATGACAAGCTCCAGGTTCAGTGAGAGAACCTGTCTAAAAAATTAAGGTGAAGATAGAGGAAAATACTTGCAATCAACATCCAGCCTCCACGAAAACACATACACACAAAACACACGTGCACCCAGAAACATACCAAAGACAAGATGTAATTACTGCATTCAGAAAGAGGAAAGATGAAAAACTATGATACTAACCCCTCTGGCTCTTTTCCTTCTTTAAGGAATACTTTTAACATTGACTTCAAGAGCCCCCAGTTGAATACAAACCTCTGTAGATTTGTGCATCCCCGAAGCAACTCTTTGCACTGTTGTAAAACAAATGTTAAATTCCTGAATGATGGAAGGATATAAGCTGTTGAAATCCAGGAGCAAAATGAACTTGTCATAAAAACCTGAAACAAAAAGACACATAATGTTAAAAAAGAAAAAAGTCTAAAGTACCATCAAAATTATCTCATTAGCAGTACTATATATAGAAAATATATACCATCCCATACTGTCAAGAAGGTAAATGAGGAAATTCAACTATAAATCCATGATTTAGATTATAATAAAAACACAGATCACAAAAGAAAGAGTGAGAAAACTGCCTTTCTTGGGAACCAATGACAACCAACCCGCTCCCTAGAAGTTCCAAAGCATGCCATTATTATGTGCAAACACCTTTCCTTGTCAATTGTTATAGTAATGTATCATGTTCATTTCTAAAACTACAGTTAAGCATTCTTTCCAACTACTCTCTCACCCCAACACAAATAAAAACTCAGTAGGTAACTATACAACACACACACACACACACACACACACACACACACACACTGTGCTTAAGGTTAGGCAAGAATATGATAAATGAATGTCAGCAGAGGAATGATCCACCCTCTCGTCTCACAAAGAGTGAACACAAAACTACTATATTTCTCTAGGACATTTATAAAAAGTTATCTTCAACTTGAGAAGAAACTGACAATATAAATGCCCACTGAAACAGCACTAACTGCAAACATGCATTGGTAGCCTACTCCTCATCTCCATACCACAGTCCCACTTATCCTTTCTGCTTCTCTGTAGTAGATGTCATCGTCTCCTTTCATATAAAAAGAAACTGAGGTTAAAAGATATGAAATAGCCAGCACCCAAACCAATATCTAACACCAAAGTATCACTCTTCATCACCTCAACTAATAAAATTGCTTTTGTTAAAAAAAAAAAAAGTCTCCTCACAGTGGTGGTGCACATCTTTAATCCCAGTACTCTGGAGGAAGAAGCAGGTGATCTTTGTGAGTTTGAGGTCAGCCTGGTTTGCAGAATGAGTTCCAGGACAGCCAAGTCTACACAGAGAAACCCTTCTTAAAAAAACCACAAACAAAAAATTACTTGTCTCCTGTGTTATCTGATGAAATTCACTATACTACTGAGCTATAAAGACATGGAAACAAATAAGATGGTCTGAAAAATAAGGATGAGCCTCTAAATATCACAAACCCTCTTTCCTTTTGGAAAACAAAGAAAAGGTGCTCTCCTCTGAAATTTTAAATCAATGGTTATTTTACTTCCTCTAACACTGCTTTCCAAATTACCCAGCCTTTGGCATACTGGGCAAAGACTGAAGCCACTCTCACATAAAGAGGAGAAAAATAGGTATTTCAACAAACAGCCACCTCTATATTGAAGCAGGGAGTGAAGCTCTGAGCAAAGACCAAATTTGAGCTAATCTATATTTTTCTATCACCTATAAACAAGGAGTTTTCTAAATAGCTAGAAAAAGTAATATATAAATAGATATGCATATATTATAATATATGAAATTTACATTTCAAGGTATATAAGTAAAGCTGTATTGACAATACAGCAAAGAATTTATACTGATTCCATGTTTGGTAACTGGTAAACTAGGTTTCACATAATAGACAAAAATAAAGTCACTCAGGGAACAGTTTGCTTACCTCCAAGATAAAACTAAGGTCTAGTTTCTGAAGTCAGGCTCTATGTGAAGTTATTTCTTAATACAGTGCATGAATCTCAACCCCTAAGTCACAACCCCTTTGGAGGTCAAATGACCCTTTTACGGAGTCACCTAAGACCATTGCAAAACACGAATATTTATATTATAATTCATAACAACAGCAAAATTACAGTTATAAAATAGCAATGAAAATATTTTTTCTGGTTGGAGGTTACCACAGCATGAGGAACTGTACTAAAGTACCATAGCATTAGGAAGGTTGAGAACCACTATCTTTAATTCTAGGGGCAAACCAATCTGCTACAAAGTCTTACCAACTTTAGGGTCCAAAACCAAGCCTCCAGCATAAGCTGCTTTCTTACGTCCTTTCTTGTACTTAATGGTATCCCCATCAATTTCCTCATCTTCATCTCCCTATTTCAAATGGAAAGAGATCATTAGCAGCTAGCAACTAGTTAATGAACTGCAATACCAGGTGACAAAAGTACACTTACTTTAACTTAGTGGTCCTACCTACACAGAAAGACTATTATCAAAATATGTTCATGTGTCCAAATAAATTCCAAGTATAGTAGTTTCTTAAGTAGATAACCCATTTTCTGAATTCTGTACTTAAATTTCTCTGAAATCCTAAAAATTTCATTTGGGGCTAAAGGATGTAGCTCAGCTAACAGAGTGCCTGCCCAGCACATACAAAACCCTGGGTTCCATTACCTGTACCACATAAGACCAGGTGTGATCACATATGCCTGTAACCCCAGTGCTTGGAAGGCAGAGTCAGAAGGATCTGAGTTCAAGGGTATCCTCAGCTATACAAGAAGTTAAAGGCTAGCCTGAGCTACATTATACCATGTTTTTTTTAAAAAAGGAAGAAAGAAAGAAAATTTTATTTTGAAATCAATAGGCATTTTAAACTGTTACATGAAATTTGAGATTGTAAAAGAGTTTTATTAAATTCACTACTCTAATAGTCATGATGTAGAAGGAATAAAATGTTCTACTCATGAATTATCATTATTCTAATTATTGTTACTTTTATGATATGGGGTCTTGGTATGTTGCTCATCTGGGCTCAAGCAATCCTCTTGTCTCAACCTCTCAAAGAGCTGGGATTCCAGCAAGTATCCTCATACACAGCTTATTGTCATTATTAGTATGGATTTCTTAAAATAAGGCCACAAAATAATAATAAAAAAAAAAACATTTCCAAGTAGTTTACTAACAGCCAACATTCAATACCTCTGCAGAAGTTAAATAGATCTAAATTAAAATTTGCTGTACCATTTTCAATAATGTGCATAACTGAGCCACATGTTAACATTTAATTATCATTCTTAAATACTATCAGTGCTGATAAAAACAGACCAAGTTTTAGTTCCAAAGTCACAGAAACTACTTCAGAAACTTGATTGGCATGATTATAAACATACTAGTAGCAGAATGTACGTTCCCCAATATGAAGTCCAAAATCTAAAACTTTTCAGAGCCAACATGACTCTATAAGCAGAAATTAACATATGTGACCATACATGACAGGTAGATTAAAATATTATATAAAATTGCCTTCCAGTAATATGCACACATACACCCTTGCACACACATATACATAATGTTCATATGTGAAACATAGATGAATTTTCTGTTTGGACATAACTTCTCACCCACAGATTTCTCATTTTATATGTACACATACACACACACACACACACACACACACACACACACACACACGCCCCTCCAATCCCAAGTGGTTTGGGTTACAGATACTCAACATATATATAAACTATAACACAAACATAAATGCTCAAAGGTTAAAGCTACAGAAGGTTGAACTGACATTTAGCTCTAGGCAAATGTAAGTGGGGGGGGGCAAATACTTTCCATATTTGGTAATGCATCAAAGTGTAATGAGGTTCTCAAAGACATGTCACAAATAATTTTGGTTCTACAGAGAAAAGTAGAGAGGAAATCAACCATCCACACACAATGGAGCAAGCTTAAGAGTGATCATAGTTTACAGGGAATTAATTATTTTAGAAGCGGATTTAAAAGCAATTTTTAAAGGCTATCTAGGTAATAAAATGAAAAGATAAGAAAAGGCAAAGTATTACACAATTTTGGACCCACCGGTTTTTGCTGAGGTTTTTTGAAAATCTGCTTGTCAGGCACAATATAGTTGTTTTCATAAAATGCATGAAGCAACAAAAACTCGTTTCGTTCAGATCGTCCACCCATCAGTGTCCTAGACTATTAAACAGAATTTTTAACTCTGAGTTCAGAACCACCACAAACAAAAGTAACTTTGAGTCAGTTAATTTAACCATGGCACCTCTTTTAACTACTCATAGTAACAAAGATTACTTTTATTGAATTATTTCTAACTTTCTGTTTAAGCATTAAAGAAGATAAAGGGAGCTTAAAATACAGAGAGTGTGGCTATTTCCTTAGTCAAAAATATATCAGTCTACCAGAAACATTAAAATTTAGAGGTAAGATCCTTATGTTCACCCAAATTTTCACATACTGCACCTGGCATTCTTCCCTTCTCCCAACCAGTTGTTCCTTTTACAAAAGAAATCCAGCTTTCAGAATCCCAGTTCCTCATTTTCTAAGCATGCATTTAGAATCATTATCATATAACAACTACCCCAAGCAAACACTGAATCCAACAGGAAATGCTTTTTCCCCTTCTCTAAGTTAAATTTACCATAATGTTCCCAGCGATGTTAGTGATCTGCAATGCTAATGGAAGAACATTTAGCTCACACATGATCTGCAAAATGAATCTGGCATCTTTCCAGATATGTTCCAACAGGTACAACAGATGAGAAGATTCACTGTGCAGAAAAGTAAGAATGAAACAGAATCAAGTAATTAAAAGAAACAATGACTATAATCAGAACTTAAAATATTACAAAAAATTTTTTGGTGTAAGTAACTTCAGAGCAATGGAACCTTGGCTTTGGAATTTATTTAAAATAAGGTCACTATATAATTAGAGGCATTTATACCACCAATCTTAGTACCCTTTTCATAACAAAAAAAAAATCCATACAGTAAAATTTTGTGATAACTATAGCCTAAAATTTATCTAGTGTTTATTGTAACCTAAAAAAACTATCTAAAACCTTTTATTCATTCAATCAATTAAGTATATATTACATGTCTACTATGTATCAGGCACTGCCTGTGACCAAAGACACAAATTCTTGTACTCATGGGGGAAACAGAATATAAAAAATAAATAGATAATACTTATATAACAGTAAGTATTAAGTGCAAACAAAAGGGTAAAAACAAAGAAAATATAAACTATCAGGAACAGAAACTGAACTTTTAGAGAGCTAGGAAAATAAAGACCAAGAAGTGACAGAGCAAGCCTTATAGATGGGTATTTTAGGAAAGAGCATTCCAAATAGAAGCATAAAGACTCTGAGTGAGACACCAATCTAGCAGTTGTAGAAAAACAATGGAAGTTCATATGGCTAGATCACAGAATAATGGAGGCAGCAGTATAATACTACGTAGAATGGCAGAAAAAAATCACTAGCATGAAGACACAACTGTATATGACCTAGTAAGCTAAAGGACTTTACTCTGAGTAAAACAGTATCACTAAGAAACTTTGATCAGACTTAATTTTAGCAAGACTATTCTTGTCCTAAATTATGAAGAGACCTGAAGAGGGCAACAAAATTAGTACATAAACCTACTGCTATGGTTTGATGTAGTTTGTTTCTTCTGAAACTGAGCAGTAGTGTTTAACCCCCACTATGAAGTATTATACAACATATGGAGAGAGAACTTCACACCTTGGTGCTACCCATGAAATACTATGAGGGTAAAAACATAAATACTAAGGTATATAAAGATGAATCCTTTGAGTCTCCATGACTGCATACTGGTGACTTTGTAAGAGAGGTTAGAGGATATAGACAGACATGCACATTTCACACAACAAATGATACCCTCTATGATCACATGACTCTTGTCAGAGAAGATCCATCAATCTTGGA